AATTCTTAAAAAACGAACCATTGTATATTGCCAATCGTGACTTGGCTTGATTCTGGAATTTTGAATTCTCAGAACGAATTGTCCAATTTAAGCTTAAATAAGTCTCATAAGCTTTAACATAATCGCAGACTGCTGGGAAAAGTTGCACCAATTTTCAAGACCGGGTTGCCTTGACCTACGATTTTACATCACTTACTTACATATTTTCGTAGGGCCCATAAACATCAAACATTGATATTTTATAAATATGTTTTTAAAAAGTGCTTTCCTTTTTTTCATCTTATCTGACTTAAACATTGAGAAAAAAGCATGCAATACAAATTGTTCTGTTATAAAATTAATATTTTTCCGTCTTCAAATTGCATCAGTTTCTATAGAAGACTATCAAAATCATTATTTTTTATTGTTACTAGTTTAAATAAGTTTTTTTATTTCTAACAAACTGCTCTATCTTCACATTTATGTGTATCCATGCTGCTTGAAAGCTTGGTAGAAATCAAAAATTGAAATTGGAAGTCGTCTTCACTGTATTGATATATATGTATTGATATATTTACGACGACTGTAGTTTGTTTACATCCCTTCAAACAGACTGCAGTACACGTTTTATGTAAACAAAGATGTGGCCGGGGTTTGCAAAGAGAATAGATTAGTATAGAATGGAATTAAGTTGATTCTCATTTGAACTACTACCGTTTGAACTATTGGTCGTTTGAACTATTGTTCATTTGAACTACTGACATGACGTCATATCCTGTAGTTCAAATCAAGACAATGACATAACTTGCTCATTTAAACTATTTTTCTACCAATTCAGTTTTTTAAATTTTTTTATAATTATGAAGTTAGGGACCATACAATTAATTAGATAACATATACACAGAACTATTTTTATGTCCATTTGGACTATTTTTTTGTTCATTTGAACTATTGTTTGGTGCATTTGAACTATTTTTATGTCCATTTGAACTATTTTAATGTTCATTTTGACTATTTTTTTTGTTTATTTCATATAATATTAATAGTTCAAATAAACAATAATTCAAATGAACTGAAAATAGTTCATGAGCATTAAATAAACTTGTTTGAACTATTGTTCATTTCAACTATTCACGTGGTACAACGTGCAGTAGTTTAAACGAACAATAGTTCAAATGAACAACAGTTCAAACGGGAGTAGTTCAAATGGAATAGCATCTGGAATTAAGTCGAAAAACGTGTAAAACCGCCATTTTTTTCTACTGTTCCTGCAGGTGTACTTCACACTTTTGTGCTGTATATGGGCCCTGGAAAATATTTTTATAAAAAAGAATGTTCTTGAAAATTTTCTCTAAATCATTTCTCTGACAGCCTGTTAACTGTCCTGTTGTTGTCGGATAGGAACAAGATTCTCAATGATGAACAGATAGACAACGGAATAACCCTCAAATCAAAACCGATAATGCAAAAAACTCTTTATTTCCTAAAAAAAATGAAATGGATAATAATGCATGAATTTGATACAAGTTTTATAATTTTACAATGAAAAGATTCTTACGATCTATTTGGGGATAAGAAGGTTAAACTGTCGGGGAGTCCTAAGACGTTTTTATGCATTAAAACTTCTGAAAAGAATGACAATTAATTGTTAACGAAATTCACTAATTCTTTGTATGAAAATATTTTGTTCACAATAATATAAGTGTTTAGACTCCGTTACCGGAGGACAAAGAAAATGGGGCGAAAATTATTTCCGAGTTCCTATCTGCATAAGCTTTACTTTACATTCCCGAGTTCATTTCAGCATAAACTTTATAAAAAATGAAATTGTTAAGTATATATCCAGGATCATACTGTTTTATTGTGATGTACTGCGTATAATTTGTGAACATTTTTGAATTGTACACTTTGAAACCCTTTTTAGGCTCAAAGGGACTGAACAAATTTATACCAATGAATTTGTCTTATTTCCCTTCTATTCTAATCTCTGTTCTGTGGGTTTATGGTAAATATTGTTTAAATTATGTCCTGTGGAGTACGATGCATACTGCAAAATCTCCATATTTTACATATTTAACGAAGAAATTAGTTTAGTTATGAATAGTGCCCCGTCATGTTTAATAATAATAAACCTAATATCAAATATCCCGGCATAGACAAACATAAACAGAGCTGGGAATTTAGTACTGTGGATATCAATCTTACTGTTATATTCTTCACTACTGTGGATATCAATCTTACTGTTATATTCTTCACTACTGTGGATATCAATCTTACTGTTATATTCTTCACTACTGTGGATATCAATCTTACTGTTATATTCTTCACTTATCAATCTTACTGTTATATTCTTCACTACTGTGGATATCAATCTTACTGTTATATTCTTTACTACTGTGGATATCAATCTTACCGTTAAATTAATCTTCAGTACTGTGGATATCAATCTTTCTGTTAAATTAATCTTCAGTACTGTGGATATCAATCTTACCGTTAAATTAATCTTCAGTACTGTGGATATCAATCTTACTGTTATATTCTTCACTACTGTTGATATCAATCTTACTGTTAAATTAATCTTCAGTACTGTGGATATCAATCTTACTGTTAAATTAATCTTCATTACTGTGGATATCAATCTTACCGTTAAATTAATCTTCAGTACTGTGGATATCAATCTTGCTGTTAAATTAATCTTCAGTACTGTGGATATCAATCTTTCCGTTAAATTAATCCTCAGTACTGTGGATATCAATCTTACCGTTAAATTAATCTTTAGTACTGTGGATATCAATCTTACCGTTAAATTAATCTTCAGTACTGTGAATATCAATCTTACCGTTAAATTAATCTTTAGTACTGTGGATATAAATCTTACCGTTAAATTAATCTTCAGTACAGTGGATATCAATCTTACCGTTAAATTAATCTTCAGTACTATGGATATCAATCTTACTGTTAAATTAATCTTAAGTACTGTGGATATCAATCTTACCGTTAAATTAATCTTCTTAGCTACCTCTCCGTGTGTATTGACCTGAGTGTACACTTGGGATATAGTTTACTGATAAAGGATGTTAAGAGATTAAGGCGTATTCATGCAGTACAAATATCAAATATGCAGTACGCTTCCGGAGTATGTATGGGGAGGTTTTGTATTTTGAATTTTACTCAGTTTTTCAGAGGCCGTTCCTTCCAAAAACTACATTGGTCGACAAATTGACGTGTTCTATTTTGGTCGTGAAATGTACGGAGAAATATCTATCTATCAGATAAGAATTTAGCACGAGACATCTAGCGGCCAACATATCGTCCCCCAAAGTATGGAGAGAATGGGCTCAGAACAGTTTATTAACGATGAAATATTGCTCTGTAAAAGACTGTAAATGTACTTCTTCTTGTGAAAAATGGAATCCTGCCCACGATAAAGGAGTAGTGGATTTTAATAGTTGCATGGAAAACAAATTCTCCATTTATATATTTTCAGAAATCATCCCCGTGTTCTGTAATATACAGATTGACCTTTCGAAGTGCAGTACATAGCCTGCACAATTAGTATAGGACTAGCGTACATCATCACTCTATACACTATAAACTCGTTGATCTTACCGCTAAAATAATCTTAATTGTACTCTGAAGAAATGACAGAAATGAAGAGATTAAGCATGGATCCTTAAATCTAAGGCACCCAGAGTAGATATTGGGATCAAGGGATCGGGATTGAGTTTCCAACACTAAGTTCCCAGCTCAAAGTAATATTAAAATTTATGTTATACATGGGGGACGCAACTCGTAAGTTACCAAAAGACCAAGTTTCAAAAGAAAAACTAAAATTTTTGACGCTTTTAGTCCAGACGTATTTTTAAGACATGCATCAGAGTTTTGAACTCTTTATCCAGGATTATCTATTTTTATTCATGCATTAAATACTAACTTCCCTCTGGTATATAAACCACGGACTGGCAAGTTTTCCCCTCTTTCCAACTTTTTAAATCCGAAATTCAAGGGTACCGTTATAATCCTGGCATTGAGTGTCACTTAAATACGCTTACAGTTCCTTTGAAGAGAAAACATTGCATTATAATTTGTTGTTACTATCATCTATTATTCTCGAAGGTGTGCATCTTCAAACAGAACAAAGTAATTTTTGTCAATATAACCTTTAGTAATTAAATTTTTATTTCTACAAATACAATCCAGTTTATAAATCTATAGAAACAAGTCTACTAACTTAGTAAGATTTTAAAAGACAACTGAAAACAAAAACGAAAAAAAAAATCAATTGATTTTAGATAGAAATAATATTCATCATCGGCTTGTAGACGGGTGAATACTATACATATACATCCTAGCTCTAATTTGAATTAAGAAATTAGTAAGTTTAGGATCAAAAGCCTCAGACAGAGAAACTAATAGATATTTGATAACACTCCCTTACAAAAGTACCTAAAATGATCATGAAAAAAAAAATCAAATTTCATAAAACCTAAAACCGAATTTATTTCATTATTACTGGCAGTATACTAAATAATATAGAGAGCTGCGTAGTAGTACACGCATGTTACAACGAATGATAAAAAACTAAAGTACGCGGTACAACGTTCCAGTTTGTAGTACACTACTTAGGCAGTACAGAACTACAATAAGAAGAGTGATTAGTACACGACTGTAGTTATAAGTACAATACAGTAGAACGAATTACAGTACTATTGTGCAGATTATTACAACTGTAGTTATAAGTACAATACAGTAGAACGAATTACAGTACTATTGTGCAGTAAGTGTAATACTGCAGTAATCAAAGGCGTCTTCAGGTGGGGGGTGAGGGATCAGCCCCCACTCCCCTTGATCAGTGATATCTATGGTTTCCGGTTTTTTAAACAGGAAACGGAGATGTTTTTCAAGTAGCAAATATCATCTTAAATTTTATTAAGAAATATTTCACCTCCCTAGATTACTTAAAAAGGACCAGAAACCAATCCCCATCACTAAGAAAAAAGATCAAACCAAACAAGAAAATACTCAAGGGGTGTCCCATTGTTATTTGCGCATTTATACAAACATATTTAAATTTAATTTTTTGGTTCATCAGCCTATATAAGCGATCACTTCTATCCTTTTTAATGCGGATCAGAAATGTCCTGTAAGAAGATTTACAAAAATTTATTTGTCAAATTTCAAATGTATATTAAAAAAAATAACTGTTAAATTTTTTCATTTGTGAAATAAGGTTTTCAGAATATTTTGGTCTATTTTTTTGCCAGTTGGATCCAAATATTCGGTGCAGTGCACACTTCACGTATAAGGCAATGCATGCATGCATTGCTTACGGTAATATCTTACTAGGGTTACCATGTGTATTGTGTACATTCGTCGTACATAAACAAAGACATTACAATTTTTAACAACGCTGAGCTCAAGCATATTTTTCAACAAAAATAAAATTTTAGCATTTCACAAATTGGATTTTTCAGTCCTTGTATCTGGAATTCTTTATGTACTGAATAGTACATTAAGAAAAGTACTAACTTATAATTAGGTACTAAATTTTGGAAGCCTCAGAATATACAACGCCAAGGATAAGACGTGAGTACAAGATATTTTAAGATTTGGAAAAACAAACCGTGCACAAAGGTAAACAAAGTAAAAAGGGAAAGAAAATCAAGGGCCAAGAGTATGGAAGCCTAATTTAAAAAAATAAAAAAATTCTATCTCTATCGACAAAAAATGTCGATTTCCGTTTAAACCAAATATTTTGGATTTTACTCATGCATAAAGTCGTTGGTAACAAAGGGACCGTTATATCCTGCAGTGCTGCACTGTACATCAACATTTCAAAGGACAGTTATATCCTGCACTGCAGCAGTGCACATCAACATTTCAAGGGACAGTTATATCCGGTACTGCTGCTGTGCACATCAACATTTCAAGGGACAGTTATATCCTGCACTGCTGCAGTGCACATCAACATTTCAAGTGACAGTTATATCCTGCACTGCTGCACTGTACATCAACATTTCAAGTGACAGTTATATCCTGCACTGCTGCAGTGCACATCAACATTTCTTCAATTTGTAGAAGGTTTATTTTTGTCTAGTGTCTAGCCGCCATATTAACTTTAATTTAATTTCACTCAGGTGTCGTATTTTCATATTTCTGATAGTTTCTGTTTTCTAAGTGTCTATTTTCCGTTAACTTTCGCAGCAGTGAGCTTAGGTGGGGAGGGCGGGCTGGGGACCACCCCAGAATCGGAGCCATCCTCTTTCTCACCCTCAGTCTTAAAAAATAATTTATTAATTAAACAAAATAATTTTAAATAGCATTTTTCTCCCAATACTTTTATTCGCAAAGAACAATGTTTTTTAGAACTAAAACGGCACTGTGGAATGCATCTATCTTTCAATATATTTTTGTAAAATTTGCACTTGTGTGGTATACATTACACAGGGTGTCCCAGAAAAGAGTGATAAGGATTTTAAATGCGGTTTGTATGGCTCTATTAAACACGTAGCCTTATAGTATAACTTTAAATTTGGGAAAGGGTCCAACATTTTTTTGATTTAAATAATTATTTCTCATATAAAGAGGGTCAAAATATTAAATTATCCATTTTTTTGTGAAATCCAAGGGTGTCTTAAAGAGATGGGAAAAAATATTAAAAGTTGTATCTAAATATATTGAATGACATTTTACCCTGCCAAGTTCGTTTTTTTCGGTTTCATTGTTGCAAAAACTATGAATTACAATAAATTTTTCCAATACAATCAATTTCTTAAAAATAGATTAATTACACTATAATTGTATAAAATGATTCCCATGCAATATCATGACTTTGTAAAAATTATTTTTAACCCCTTATAGCGCTTAAAATTATTTATGCGCACAAAAACAAAAATTTTTGCATATAAGGAAAATTATAAGCTTGCAATTTTAACATTTGTAATCAATCTGCTTTCTTCAATTTGTAATCAATCCGCATTCTTTAATTTGTAATCAATCTGTTTTCTTTGATTTGTAATCAATCTGCTTTCTTTGATTCAACCTTTATATTACCTAGTCTACGCCATTCTAGTTGTAATCTTACTCTTCAAAGACAGTTAAAAAAACATCAAAATATGGAAAAAATGTAAGTTGGATACCGACGTTCAAAAATTTCATGTTTTTTAGATTTTAAAAAAACTGTTAACCCCTGTACTCATTACCTCTGGTTCGCCCTGTATCCCTGCCTCTGCCTCGTATTCCTTGAGCACACTGTCCAGATTATACCGACGCTTGAAACTAACGAAGAAATTCCGTGTGTGAGCTTCAGTCTTGGTTCCCAGGATCTCAGCGATTACTTTGAAATTCTTTCCAAATTTACGAATACCTTAGAAAAAATCATGATTAAAACAAAAAACTATTTTATGTTATAAAGTGAACAGTGTACAGTACTGTACAACGTGTGAAGAGTAATGTACAGTGTGGAGTACAAATTTTATGAAAAGCTGAAGAAAGATCTACAATATACTGTGTACAGTGGAAAGAGTAATGTACAACGTGGAGTACAAATTGTATAAAAAACTTAAGCAAGATGAACATATGTCCAGTTTACCTAGTAATGTACGACGTGGAGTAAAAATTGTATAAAAACTGAAGAAAGATGTACAATATGTACAGTTTACCTAGTGTAAAGAGTAATGTACAACGTGGAGTACAAATG